AGAACAGTCACTAAATTAGACATAGAGGCCAGAAAATAGTGGCACACATGCCTTTAATCCTATCACTTGGGAAGCAGAGATCCCTGTGGATCTCTGAGTTCAAGGCCACACTGGGAACAGAGCCAGGCAAGGTGGCACGCACCTTTAATCCCAGCACTTGAGATCTCATGTCTTTGCTTAGGAAGGACACATACCTTTAATCACAGGAAGTGATGGCAGGAAGCAGAAAGGTATATAAGGCATGAGGACCAGGAACTAGAGGCTGTTAAGCAGTTCAACTGAGACCCTCGGGGGTGAGGACTCAGAGGCTTTTAGTCTAAGGATTTGTGGAAACAGGATCAGCTGAGGAGTTGGTGAGGTGAGGTTGGCTGTGCCTTGTTCTGCTTCTCTCATCTTTCAGAATTCACCCCAATATCTGGCTCTGTTTTTTTTTAATTAATAAGACCTTTTAAGATTCATGTTACAACATGGGGCATTATATCCTGAATATTAGGAAATTATCAAGTACCCCCCCAATGTTGTTCTCCTATACGTTCTCATGGGAATTCTGAAGCATGGGCTGGGTTTCCAGAAACCCCATTTTCTGCTAAGGCATGCCAGTGGATCCTGGCCAGCAGTTCTGCTCCAGCAGAGCTCCAAGCTGATGATACATTTTCCCATGTGATAGCAAAGCAGTGGTGGGTTCTGGCTTATATTTATATAACCAACAGAAAGAACCTATTTTAGAGAAAACAGGCAAAGAAGGGAGCCGAGGGTAGCAATTTCTTAGCCTGCTCTGTAATTTAGTCTGGTATTCTCTGTTGAAGGAGAAAAATCATTCCCATGTTAACAGACAGTAGAGGATGAAAGAAGAAAAGATCAAACAGTTTGGGCCCTGGTCCCAGAATTCTCGATGTATTGGGTAGGAAAAAAAAAAAAAAACCTTTGACTTTTTTTCATTTTAGCATCATAAAAAGATATTGGTTATTAATGGGAAAAAACAGATGCACAATTAACAGGTGGATAGACGGCTGGATGGATAAGAATGGCGAGCAGTGTGGTGACAAGGTGAGAAGAAGTGAGAGTTTTCTGTTGGTATAACAAAATATCAGATACTGGATAATTTATAAAGAAAAGAAGTTGCTATAGCTCACACTTTTAGAGGTCTAAGAAATCTGGTTGGCTCTAGGACTGCCCCACACCCGACTGTATCATAGCATAGTGGATAGCATCATGGTGGGAACACATATGAAGGGAGGTATCACAGGAAGCCAGAGAGTGATTCAGGGTCCAGGCTTCCCTTCTTTATATTTAAAGTAAAACTAACTTTCCCCAAACTAACTTACTCCATAAGAAGACCAGCATTAGTTCCTTCTAGGAGCAGTGCTCCCAATGACCTCATCACTTTCAGCAGCCCTTATCTCTAAATGTTCCACCACTTCAACACTACCACTTGAAGGAACAAGTTTCCAGAATATGAATGTTTGGGTGTTACCAGGAAACTGGTGGAGCCCCACATTGGGTGCAATATATTAACAGGAAAGTTGGAGTTCTCTCTTTCGAATCTCAGTCTCATGAACAAAAGAATGTAAAAGCAGACTCAGAAGGAAGGTCGAGGACATTTTTGTTAGTTTAATAGAAAAACAACAGGATAGGCAAGCTGTATGTCTTGGAAGAGAGGAACTAAGCCCCTTTGTAAGAAGACACATGGTAGACAAGCCGCTGCATCGTCAGAAGGAAGGGCAACTTCAGAGGAAAAGTAAGGAAACTATGAGTTAGTTAAACATATGATTAAGAAATAAATAGACCTCCTCTGCATCTGTTTCCATCAGTTGTTGGGTGAAGCCTCTCTGATGACAGTTGGGCTGGGCAATGTTCTATGAGTATAGCAGAATATCATTAGGAATCATTTCATTGACTTTTTGCTAGTCATGTTTGGGTCTTAGGTCTCTGGTCCTGGCCCTCAGGGGTGAGCTCCCTCTCATGGTATGGGTCTCGAATGGGGCCAAGCATTGGTTGGTCACTCTCACAATTTCTACACCATCTTTACCCCAGCACATCTTGTAGGCAGGACAAGTTGTAGGTCAAAGGGTTTGTGGCTGGGTTGGTGTCCCGATTGGTTGGAGCTTGGGGAATCCTGTGGAAGAGGGGGAGAAAAGATTGTAGGAGCCAGTGGGGTCAAGGGCATCACAAGAAAACCCACAGAATCAACTAATCTGGGCTCAACTGGCAACCAGGGAGCCTGCATGGGACTGACCTAGGCTCTCTGCATATGTTACAGATGTGTAGCTTGGTCCTCTTGTGGGACTCCTAACAGTGGGAGCAGGGGCTGTCTCTGACCCTGTTACCTGCATTTGGGACCCTGTTCCTCCTACTGGGTTGCCTCGTCCAGCCTTAATATGAGAGGAGGTGCCTAGTCTTACTGCAACTTGATATAGCATGCTTTGTGGATAACAATGGGAGGCCTGCTCTTTTCTGAAGAGAAACAGGAGAAGTGGATGGGGGGGAGGAAAAGGGGAGGTTGGGGGAGGGACTGGGAGGAGAGGAAGGAGAGGAAACTTTGGTCAGGGTGTAAAAACAACAAATAAAATAAGACAAGAACTGAATAGAAAGTAAAGCAAAAGAAACGCTCTAGTCTTCTGAGTAAAGCAGACAGGCTCCTCACTGCTATGTGATGGAAAGTCTAAGCGACTGCACCGACGGTGGGGTTTCCTTAAAGAGGTAATTAATCCTCCCATCTCCTTAGCATGGCAGCCTTCCTGAGGTACTCTAGTGGCCAGATGATTGACAGTCTCAGAGGGATTAATATGTGAGGGAAAAGGCAACAGTATGTAGTGTTTTCAGTTTTGGAGCCAATCGAAATGTCATGTATCTCTATACCCAGTCAGAGGTAGATTCCATTAGGGAGTGAGTTATCATACACAGTCTTTAAGGCTCCTACAAAGTTCCCCACTTAAGAGTGGGAACCCTAAAATTATTTAGGAGATGTGCTGAAACTGGGGAAATTGGGGATAAGCCACATTTAAACCATAGTAAAATCGTTACTGCTGTCTCCTGTATCTTAGTTTCAGACCTTTTCCTTCAGCAGTGCTATCCAGATGGACAGTCACCTTCAGATTTCTAACCAGCACCCTGATAGAAATGACTCTTCAGCATCTATTCCCACCCCTTTACAGTGTGCTTTGATGTATTAGCAGAGTCCAGAAACAGAAAAACTACGTTTCCCAGACTCCCTTGCAGTTGTGTAATTTAAGTTCCACCAATTAGATGCGATCATGTGAGGCAAATTCAGAACCTGTTTATTGAAGTGGGCAAAGGGTCATGGTAAGAAGCTTCCATTTGTAGGTACAGGTTGCAACAGGTCCTGAGTAATTCCAATCTTCCCTGTCCCCAGATTCCATCTGCAGGCAGTAATGCTGGCTCCAGATGATGACAGGGCACCTTCCTGATTTGCTTACACAACTCCTACCTGAGGGAGGAGACTTGCTATTAGAACTGAGTTAGCGTATGCGTGGCGTCTATGTAGGCCCAGATGAGCTGGCTTTTTCTCAACAGCCCTACCCAGTGCAGGGGTCATCCTCACTTTCTTTGAGGCTTTTCTCCATGTTTATAGCCCTCTATTAGTGAGCCGAATCCTTGGGCTGAATTGTGGAACAGAATTCTGTCTTACCTTCTTCCCAGAAGGCACCTGGGCTTTCCAGGCAATCCCCGTAGCCCCTCTGTACTTGTGCAAATCTGAGCAGCCTTCTGCCCTTAAGCTTTATTTTTAGTTATGTGCATGTATGTAGTAGGGTGGGGGGCTGGTACGTTCTTGTGAGTCCATTTGTCTGCAGAAGGCAGCAGTGTGGGATCCCCCAAGAGCTGGGGTTACAGGTGGTTGTGAGCCACCTGATGTGGGTGCTGGGCATTGAACTCAGGTCCTCAGGAAGAAGAGTATATGTGCTTAGCGCTGAGCCTCTTTTCCAGCCCTCTCCTTTGTTTAGCTGGAAAATTTACCTCCCCAGATGCCTCTGTGTGCAGTATGTAGCTGTGACCTGCACAGAAACCCTTGAAATCCATCTCCTGTCTACTTGCCAATCTGGGCGCCCTGACACTGGGCTATATGTGTATGTTCCTGGAGGAAGGGGTGCCTTTGAAAATCCTCTGGAAGCCAAGCGCAGTGGTGTATGCCTGTAATGTCAGCACCGGAGAAGCTGAAACAGGATGATCACAGAGTTGAGGCCAACCTGACTGCCCAGTTACCTTTTACAAAATCGCTGTTTTATTTTATTTATTATTATTATTTTTTTTTACAAAAAGGAAGAGTCCTCATTAAGGAGTCACAGGAAAGCCCTAGTTCTAGGTGATGGGACAGAGAGGAGAGGCTGGAAGGCAGCCAATGTCAAAGTCTCCTGGCACCCAGAAGGGTGTGCCTTCCAACTCCCTCCAAGCCACCGAGGGCACAGATGTGTGTAGAGCTGTTGGCCCGAGCTCTCCCAGCTCTGCCTGAGGCAGCAGTTTGACTTCTTATTACCAAACCGCACAGAAAGGCTAAGATGGCATCAGCTCTCTTAGTGCTTCCTCTGCCAAGCATTTGCATGCTGTAAACTGTGAAACGAACTCAGCAGTTCTCTGTTGGCCTTTGAAAACTGCTTAGGAGAGAATACCTCATCTCAAAAGAGGAGGCGGGGTGGGAAGAGGAGGGAGACACAAGGAGGAGACCAAGTCCTCTGGGAACACGAACCACAAGTGAGTTTCCCTTCCAGAGTGACTAACAGCACTTAATCGTTCATCCCTTGCCCAAGGAACATGTTGAACAAGTATGAAAGTGGACCAGGTTGTTTATAGAAATGTCTTAAAGGCACCAGGCCCTCCTGCTGTATTAGCAGCCCAGGCCGTGTTTTCTTTTTTCCTGATCCCCATCCACAAAGAACAGCTACCATGAAAACAAGAGGTAGGGATACAGGCCAGCATCCCAGCATTCAGGAGGTGGAAGCAGGACCAAAAATTTAAGATCATCTTCTGTTATGTATCGAGTTCAGGTTCAAAGATAGTTTAAGCCGCCCGAGACCCTGCCTTGACAAACGCACAAACAGAACCGCAAACAACAGCTAACAAGTCCGAAGAAGCTTCATGGGCACCAAGGGCCTCACCCTGATACTCCCTGTGCATACCCTCCAGGACAGAGATGAAGAGAAGACCACGCTGCTGATAGCACAGGCCTAGCCTCTGTGCATACTGAGGCAAGAACGGGGAATATACACATAAGAAGAGACGGTAGGTAAAAAGGCAGCTTTTGGTTTAGTTTGCTTTTTTGAGTCAGGGACTCACTATGAAGTCCAAGCTGATCCTGTATTCCCAATCTTCCAGCCCCGGTCTCCTGAGTGCTAGGATTACAGACATGGATGGGCCACTCACAGTCCCCTTGAGGGAAGTTCAATCTCAAATATGAGTCAAGAAAACCATGTTTTAAACAAGCACCAGGGCTCAGTTTGTAAAGTGCTCGCTATGCAAACACAAGGACTTGAGTTCAAACCCCAGAACCTCCGTGAAAAAGGTAGGTATAGTGGTGGTACATGTGCTCCCAGCACAGGGCAAGCAGAGACAAGAGGATCTCTGTGGCTCACTGGCCAGCTGCCTAGCCTAATTAGTGAGCCCCGGGTCCTCATGAGAGACCCTATCTCAAAGAACAAGATGGATGGCTCCTGACCCAAGCTTGTCTACTTGCATCCATAGGCAAGCATGCACACACACAGAGAGAGAGAGAGAGAGAGGGAGAGGGAGAGGGAGAGGGAGAGGGAGAGGGAGAGGGAGAGGGAGAGGGAGAGGGAGAGGGAGAGGGAGAGGGGTGGGGAGAAAGGGAGGGAAGGATGAAGGGAAGGAAGGAAGAAAGAAAAAGAAAAGCAAGGCACCAAAAGAAACTCAAGCCTGTACCCTCAAACTAAAACCCTTAGGACCACGCTGGTGCAGCCTAGCTCATACTCCAGCAGTGAAGGAGCCACCTTTCTGGGCCTGAGGGACTGTAGACACCAGACAGCAGGCCCCAGACAGTACCTTTCTTGTTGTGTAGAGCTGTAACTTGTCACCTGGAGCTTCCCAGCACGAGTGAGCAGGACTTGACTACAGTGATAACTTGCAAGACAACTCACCCCTAAGTGCCTTCTTTCTCTTCTCCTTCCTTGTCTCACTTTCCCGCTGCCCTGCCAATATTTCCAAAAATCTCCCGAATAAACTACTCAACCTTGGATGTTTGTATCAGCTCCTACTTCCAGGAGAACTCAAGCTCAGACATCCTCCAATATTGATCCATTTTATTAAACCTCGTTCTCTTCCCTTGCTGAATGGAAGAGAACTTTCCAGCCACGTGTGTCTAGCCTGCCGCTCTTGGGGCACATGCTACCAAGGATAGCCCAGCACAAAAGTTGCATAAATGTATTTAAACACTGTAAGATTTTTTTGGGGGCAATTCGATTGTATGGTTCTTCAGCATAAACTTTGTACATGTCAACATTACATCACGTTAGCAAAAATATTGGACATGCCTGCTAGGCCCTTCCATATAACCAAGGCATTTGGTACAAAGTGTATTTAAGTTTTAAAAATCCCTTTGGACCTTAAGGACCCTTCTCAGATCTTTGAATTTATCATACTGGATATTTGCTCCGGTACTGGAATCATACCTGAGTCATGGCAAGTGGATTAGTCATTTTTCTGTTGTTATGATAAAACACCATGACCAAGGCAACTTATAGAAGGAAGGATTTATTTGGGCTTGAGGTTCCAGAGGGCTAAAGTCTATCATGGTGTGGAAGTGTGGTTGCAGGTGACAGTCATAGTGGTCAGAGCAGGAAACTGAGAGCTCACACACTCGACTACAAGCACAAAGCAGAGAGAATGAGGTGTAAGTGGCATGAGGCTTTTGACATCAAAGCTTGTCCCTTCCTCTAGCAAGGCTGTACCCCTCCCCCCAAGACAGCGCTACCAACTGAGGACCAAGTGTTCAAATGCCCAAGAGTATGGACACACTTCTCATCAAAACCACCACAGCAGGCTTTTGCTTAGTAAATGTATTTTCTGATAAGTTAAATATCAGTAGGGAGATATTTTAAATATATTAGGAGAGACCCTAATTTGGACTCTTGTTGCTCTTACAGAGGACCCAGGTTCAATGCCCAGCAGCCACATGGTGACTCACAACCATTTGTGACTCCAGTTCCAGGGGATCCGATGCCCTCTTTTGGCCTCTGCAGGCATCAGGCAGTCACATGGTGCACAGATATACATGTAGGCAAAATGCCCATAGATATAAAACAAAAAGTTTAAAATGCAAAGGAATGTGAATCACAAATAGGGATTCTTTTATCAATGATATGTTTTAAGATTTTATAAAAATTATCTGTAATACGATGTTGGAAAGATAGCTCACACTACTTCTAGAGGACTGAAATCCTTTTCCCAGCATGCCCACAGGAAGGCCTAACAACTTCCTGTAACTCCTGCTCCAAGGAGATCTGACCCCTCTGACCTCTGCACCATTCACTCCCGTGGATATGCCTCCCCCACATACACATAGTTAAAAATAATATCTTGAAAAAATTTGCTGCAGCCGGGTGGTGGTGGCACACACCTTTAATCCCAGCAGAAGCAGGTGAAGCAGGCGAATTTCTGAGTTCGAGGCCAGCCTGGTCTACAGCGTAAGTTCCAGAACAGCTAGGGCTACACAGAGAAATCCTGTCTTGAAAAAAACAAAAACAAAAACAAAAACATGAAAGAAAAAAGCTTTCAAGTTTTACTTTTGCTACTGGGTTACATAGGGCCATTTTCATGCAAGTAGAATATTTTGAACATGCCCCCACCCACGCCCTGCTATTATTCCTTTTCTTGCCCCCCACACTTGCACTTCTACATTCATGTGTCTGTACACGATTTTATGTATCCATACAAAATCTCAAACCCTCAAATGGCAGACAAGGACTCACTATGTAGCCCAGGCTGGCTTCTCTCTCCCAAATGCTGGACTTACAGGCCTGGGTCACCTCGTCTGGCTGCAATCTCTTTTTAAACTTTAAATCATAGATTTGAAATGAGAGCTGATGTCCTTTAAGGTTGAGAGGATTTTAGAAATCTATGAAGGCATTAAAAAAATAATTGAAAGATTTGGGCATTTAAAGTGTGAGGTCTAGAACTGGCCAGCATCCGGTGTTCTGAATGATCTCTGAATAACCTGCTAAACTTTCACACAGGTGTCGATAAGCACATAGTATTTCACCAACACAAGTACCATATAAATTGGAGGATGCTTGTATTTCCTTTTGGTTAGAATTTTTCAAGAGTTGTTCAGCATGTCAAGAAATCTCTATAGCATGGGCAGTAGTGCTTTTGTGATCAGAATTGCCACTGAGGCCCACCTGTATCAGCCTGCATCGTTAGCTATCACTTACAGTGACGCTATGGATAAAGCATCAGAATACTTTATTATGTTTCCTGGTGTTGCTGTGCTGTGCTGAAGGTTTGCACTGTGAAAATGCATGGTATTTTATTAGACCTTTATTTCTCCTTTCTACTAAGCATTATACCACTTATTACAACTGTGTGCAGAGGTATACGGTATCACCTGTACATTTCAGTTTAAGCTAGTAGAGGAGGCTCCTAACTGCATTGTGAAGAGATTGTCAGATCTGAGACTGCTGTTCTAAATAACTAATCGTTAGCATATGATAATACTTTTTCCTGTCCCAAAGCACTTAGTCTGTCTGCCTACTATGTGACACGAGAGTGATTATCATATTCACGCGGCTTCAAGACTAAAAAGATTGTTCAACCCTGCCTTAGTCTCGACCATCTGTGGTCTACAATAACAATTTCATCCATTTTCTTGATAACAATGCTGACAGCTTGGTCATTTGTTCTCTGGAATATTTGATGCCCTCTTAGAAAAGAACATAATCAAAAAGGCCAGTGAATCAAATCTTGAAGGGAGTTTCACAATGAAGTGAAGCCAAGTTACCTGGAGTTTAGAATTTTCCCTCGAGGAACTTGGAAGCATTAACAAGCACACCTATTTAGTGTTATGCTATATACAACACACTGGCAATAAACGCCTCAGTAGGAAAATAAGCAGTTAGTGTGATGCATACGGTAACAAAAAATAAATATATAGTTTGGGCTGGATTCAAATATGAACCTACAGATCATGTTGTCAACACAGTCAAAAAGAAAAAAAAGTATCATCAGTAAGAAAACCTGTAATAGACGTGCAGCAAGGCTGACCTTTGGCAAGACGGCGGAGTAGCTGGGGTTTGTTTCCAGCACTTCCATCTTTCTCTGGTGCCCTTTACCCCTCGCAACTGCAAGCCAGGGGCCCTCAGTCAACATGGAATTAGCAGGTGGTTTCGAGATGAGAGGCAGAGATAGGAGAATGGCCTAGAAACTTGCAGGATGGCAAGCCTATAATACACAGCTTCAGAAATAAGAGAGAGCCTCCCTCCAAAACAAGATAGGAAATAACTGACTCCTGAATAGTCGTCACACAAACATCATAGACAGACAGACAGACAGACAGACAAACAGACACAGACACACACACACACACTAAAACAAACAAAACCTCCAACATGAGTTCTTGTTTGGGGAGACAAATTTCTAAACCACTTGCCTTTCTCATTAATCAAAGCAAAAACACCGAAGACTCATTAGAGGCAATTGAGGCCAGTTGCTCTGGCAGTCAGCCTCATCACACAATTTCTGACTATTTTGGGGAGCCCTCCAGTTAATTCTGAGTTACTAAAAGGCATGATCGGGCCAGAACAATGAGAAGTCTGAGGTTATTTTTTAAATAACAAATTTAACTGAAAGTATATAATGAAGATTAAGTAATTAACAAGACGATTCTAGAGTAAGCTTTATACTGTTTTAGGAGTTTATTTTAAAACAGAAGAAGAATGCCAGATGTGGTAGTGCATGCCTATAATCTCAGTCATCACAAGGGTGAGGCCAGAGGATTGCTGAGTGTTTGTGGTGGGTGAGTGTGGGCTACATAGTGACTCACAGGCCACCCTAGGCTACATAGCAAGAGACTACCTCAAAGAGAATCAGAATGGTTGCATTTAAATGCAAATGACCTTTAAACATTGCTTTTGGAACAGACTTTAAACCATCAAGAGATTGTATTGGTGATTTGTCTCTGTGCTGTGGCAAAATACCTGAGAAACACAACTGAAGGAAAGAAAGGTTCATTTTGATTCACAGTACCAGGGATCCGGTCTATTGTAGCAGGGACAGGCGATGCCTGCTCACAACTGCATCTACAGTCAGGAAGCAGAGAGCAATGGATGCTAATGCTCATCTAGCTTTCTCTTTTGCGTGCAGTTCAGAACCCCAGCCCATGGAACGCTGCCACCTACAGTTAAGGTGGGACGCCCTACTCAACTGGCATAAACTAGAGAATCCTCCATCAGCCCGCCCAAAGATTTGTCTCCTACATGATTCTGGATTGCGTCAACTTGGCAGCCAAGATGAACTATCACAGAAATTGTATTTATTTATTTTTATAAAGATGCTTGATGTCTGTCTTTTGCTGTTTTGTTGCGAGACAAGGTTTCTCTGTGTAGCCCTGGCTGTCCTGCAACTCACTCTGTAGACCAGGCTGGCCTTGAACTCAGAGATCCTCCTGCCTCTGCCTCTTGAGTGCTAGGATTAAAGGTATGTACCACCATGCCCAGCTTATTTTTTCTCTTTATTTTTATTGGGGTGGAGGAGACGGAGTCTCTCTATGTAGCCTTGACTGACCTTGAACTCATCCTTTGGGCCAGGCTGGCTTTGAACTCATAGAGATTCCCTTCTTTTGTCTATAGAGTTCTAGAATTAAAGACAGGTATCACCGTACCTGGCCTCTGATTTTATTTTTAATATTTTATTTATTTTATTTTTGTGTATGGGTGTTTTGCCTGCATGCAAATATGTGTACAATGTATGTGCAGTGCCCACGGAGGCTGAAAGAGGGTGGCAGAATTCCTGGGAGTGGAGTTATAGTGCTTCCATATGGGTGCTGGGAATCAAACCTGGGTCCCATGGAAGAGATTTTATCCACCAAACCATCTTTCTAGTCCCTTATTTTACTTTGTATAATTCAATTGTGTGGTCCTTGAGCATCAACTTTCTTTTTACAACAGTTACTTGACAAACTTTTCTTTCAAATAAACTTTAGTTAGCTCAGGCCAAATAGTCAGAAAAATGTAAACCAGAGAAGAATAAGGGTTACTCTGTGTAAACAGGTTGTTACTGGCTAGATAGGCAGACTCTTGATTAACACTTTTTGTGATCTTCCTAGGCTGGCCACAGCCCTAAGTTGTGCACAGGTTAGTAGCAGCACAGGCTTCTACTTCATCATCTGCACAGTGCAAAGGCAGACCAGCTGATCTCCAGCTTCCTTCCCAGCTCTAAAATGCCAGAAGTCGATTGTATTGCAGGTCCACCCTTCTCTGTATTAGAAGACTCAAAATAACCTACCTAGAGTTTTCCTTGAGAGTAATGGTTTTACTTTAATAATTATAGATAGGAATAGTGTAGAAAATGTTTCAGTTTTTTTTCTTTCCCCTTAGGAAACATTTTGTGGGTAAATATTCACCAGGTAGATAAAGCCCAGAATAGCCATAAATTGACAACCTCTTGGGGGAATACAAGGGTTAAGGAATTGAGAGTTGGTTCCGGAAAGCAGAGAATATTCAGTGCAAGCCGCATTTGTCTCTGCCTCCCCAGATATCTAGAATGTGTCTGTTGGGAACAAGAGTCATTTCCAGTTACTGTATTCAGTGCTATCAGAAGTGATAACTCTTAGGCAATTTGTGACATGAAATGAGAGTGTTCCTAGGGCTGACTATTCCCATTCATGCTAATTTGAGGTGGATGCACATTGTGGTCCATAGGTAGCACTTTGAGGATCAGAGTACTTTAATAGTCGTGCTGATGAAATGAGGTTTTTAAAATGCAAATTATTTGCACAATGAACTCCCTTTTGGCTAAAGAGGTAGTGCACTTTCTGGACATTGCCCAACAGATTATAAATGTATCATTAAAAATGGTTCAACTACACTTTCTTGATAAAACACTCTCTAGCCTAGGACACTTTGTGACCACTCCCCTAGCAGTTTCTCAAGAGAGTGACAGCTTTGACGGGGGACTTGGGCTCTGAAGGTGCACAGGGGGGTCACTTCAGCTGCTTGACGATCTCATTCCCTTTCTGTGACTCTGCTTTCCTGTCTTAGTGCATTTTCTGTTGCTATGACAAAACACCCAAATCTAGGTAAATTAGAAAGAATGGAAGTTTAATCTGCCTACACTTCTGGAGGCTGGAAAGTCCAAGAACGTGGTGCTGGCATCGATTCAGCATCTGGTGTGCTGTCAGAAGACTGTGGAAGGTGAAAGGATAGTGGAGATGTGTGCCTGAGGAAGAGGCAAAACGTGGACCATAACAGCTCACTCTCCGGGTAACTAATGCAGTTCTTCAAAAATGAGATCTCACTCCCGTCAGAATCAATCCAGAGGACTGACCGGCAGATATGGACTCACACACACAACCTGGCTAGGTAGTTTGCCCTGGGTGGGTGGGAAGAAGCTAAGGGCCAGCACTGGCACTTTGTGGCACCTGGCATTCGGGCGCCATTATGGTGAGCATATGAAGGGGAGGGAGAGAGAGAGGCAGAGAGGTTCATGTCCTGTGGAGAGAGGTGAATCTGAGGAACAGGCTGATGTGGGAGGCCCAATTGCCATCTGGGGCCCTATCTGGGTCCGTGATCCTGCCGCAGCTGTGGTCTGTGTTGATGTCCATGGCTCCTGTTACCACTGAAGGCTGTGAAGATGCCCGTTGCTTGGGCCTCCACATGTGGGCACATTGGTGCCCAAGGGCCATGCCACAGCAGGGGCCATCCTGATTTGAGTGGCCTGGGCTACCACTTGGGGCCATGGAGATGTCCAGGTTTGAGCTGTGGCCCTACCACAGCCAGGATTTGTGTTGATATCCAAGGTGCCTGTTGCCATCGAGGATTAGCTGGGTGCCCAGGGTCTGGGTCCCCACCTGGGGCCATTTTGGTGTCCAAGGGCCATCCTGCAGCCAGGGTGATGCCAATCTGAGTGGCCTGTGCTGCTAACTGGGACCATGGTGGCATCTGGACCTAGGCTGCTGCTGAGGACCATGTCTGGGTCTGTGGTCCTACTGTAGCTGTGGTCTGTGTTGATGTCCATGGCCTGTGTTACCACCAAAGGCTGCACAGATGTCCCTGCTCTGGGCTACCACCTGTGGCCATGTTGTTGACCAAGGGATATGCCATAACCGGGGCCATGCCAATCTGAGTGGACTGCACTGCCACCTGTGGCCAGGGTGTCAACCAGGCCTGAGCTGCTGCTGGGGGCCACGTCTGGGTCTATGGTCCTGCTGCAGCCAGGGTCTGTGTCGATGTCAATGGTTCTTGTTACCACTGAAGGTTGTGTAGATGTCCGGGATATGGGCCAACACTGGAGGCCATATTGATCTCTGAGGGTCATCCTGCCACGGAGGTCATACAGATTGGGGTGGACAGCATTGCCACCTAGGATGATGGTGGTGTCTGGGCCCAGGCTATAGCCAGGGGCCATGTCTGGGTCCTCAGGCCCTACTGCAGCCAGCATCTGTGCTAATATCCATGGCTTCTGGTCCTATTGAAGGCCAAGCAGATGCATGAGGTCTGGGATGCCACCTGGGGTCATGTTGTTGTTCTAGGGCCATCTTGTAACTAGGGTGATGCAAATCTGAGAGGCCACCTGGGGCCATGGTGACATCAGGCCCAGGCTGCTGCTGAGAGCCATGTCTGGGTCCATAATCCTACCACAGCTGATATGTTGATGCCCATGGCCTGTGTTCCCACAAAAGGCCACAAAGATGCATGACTTCCAGTCACCACCTGTGACCATGTTGGGGTCCAAGGGACATGCAGGTGCCGGGGCCATGCCAAGCCCGGGCTGCTGCTGAGGGCCATGTCTGGGTCCATGGCCCCACCGCAGCCAGGGTCCATGAGATGTCCATGGCTCAGGTTACCACTGAAGGCAGTATAGATGCCCGGGGTCTGGGACACCTGAGGCCATGTTGGTGCCCGAAGATCATGCTCCCATCAGGGCCATGCAGCTCGGGTGGCCTGTGCTGCCACCTGGGGCCATGCTGATGTCCAGGCCCAAACTGTGGCTAGGGGCTACGTCTGGGTTTGTGGCCCTACTACAAACAGGGTCTGTGTCTCCTGTTGCCATCAGGGGCCCTGCACTTTGTTGGAGTCTCTACTTTCACCTGGGACCTTGTTGGATGGAGTCTGGGGACACACTGCTGCCGCTGGGCCCATGCCAATCTGAGAGGCATACACTGCCATCAGGGTCCATGGTGACATCCGTGGCCCAAGCTGCTGCTGCTGGCCATGTCTGGGTCCATGGTTTTGCCACAGCTGGGGTCTGTGTTGATGTCTATTGCCTGTGTTACCACAGGGGCCCTATGATCCATGTGTTGAACCATGAGTTGAAGTATAGGGGCCTTGCTGAGCTGGCCCTACCACTCACTAGCCTGTGGAGAGCTGTGCCCCACCCCCTTCACCAGAGAGCTGACTCCATCCCTGGCTGGCCCTGGGATAATGGACCCCTATGACCCAAGTATGAGAAAGCTGGCCTCTCCCCTACTAGGAGAATTGGCCCCCCATACTTGGGAAAGATGGCACCATCCCTCACCATGGCTGTGAGAGAGCTGGCACCACCCTTCATCTGCGGGGAGTGGTCCCAGTGGCTCCAACTGACCAACTCAGCAGCTACCCAGGTACATACCCAGGGCTTTGAGCTGGCACACCCCAACACCTACCCCATCTATGACCTGCTGGAGTATGTGAAGGGACTGGTCCTGAAGAGCCATGGCCACATGGTCTACACAACTCAGTGGAATGTCCAGAGAATTTCTGTGCGGGTCCAGTGTTGATGGTGTGCTGGAGGTCAGAGGCCTTGAACCTGACCAACAACACAGTATACAATGAACATTAGCAAGGAAAGCTGTGTGGACAAAAGGGTGTACTGCATGATACACAGCAGTTCCCAATGCCACTAAGACGAATGAAGATGGAGAGACAAAGATGGAGGAGCAAAGTGTTTGCTTCTTTGTTTTTCTCTTTGGTTTGGTTTGCTTGCTCGTTTTTTGATTGAAATTGATATTATTTGTATTTTATTTTTTATGCTTTTTCTTCTTTTTTATCTTTATCTTATTTTTATTATTTATTTGTTAGTTTTCTTTGGGGGGAACACTACAAGGGTGAGGGGTGGATTTGGAGGAACTGGGAGGTGGATGGGATTGGGGTGAGTGATGTAAAATTCCCAAAGAATCCATAAAACGAAAGAAAACCTATCACCTCTCAGCATTTGTTATACTGGGGACTACATTTCAGCATGAGTTTTGAAGGGGACAGGCTCCAGCAAATCTATAGCATTCCCTTGGCAAGATGGCAGGAATCTGGAAGGATATTCTAAATATATCTAAAGGCTGTATTTATGTGGTCACTGTGGAATATATGTATATTTTCAAGGAAGGACTAATGAAAATAATATACCAGAGAGCCTAAGATACAGTTATAAATTAGTACCATCATGCATATGAAGTGTGCATAGTAGCTAAATTCAGAATTTATTCCAGAAAACTGAAGGAATTTATCATTCTCTGGAATATGGGGGATGTCATAGGCTAAATAATGTCCCTCCTCCATCTTAATCTATTTTGTGTTGTTGTAATAAAATACATTTGGCTGGTGTCTTAAGGTTTCTATTGCTGTGAAGAGACACCATGAACACAGCAACTCTTATAAAGGAAAACATTTAGTTGGGGCTGGCTTATAGTTCAGAGGTTTAGTCCATTATCATCATGGTGGGAAGCATGGCAGCATGGAGGCAGACTGTAGTGGAATATTGGTTGAAGATGTGTTATATTTGTTTATGCTCTGGAACATTTGTTTAATGATACAAAGATGTGTTGCATTCTTTTATGTTGCGTTTGTTTGACTCTGTGAAGCTGTGTTGCTTTGCCTGATAGGTCTAATAAAGAGCTGAACAGTCAATAGCTAGGCAGGGAAAGGATGGGCAGGGCTGCCAGACAGAGAGAATAAATAGAAGGAGAAATCTGGGAGGAAAGGAAGAAAGAGCAAGAGATCAAGGAGAGGAGGACACTAGGGGCCAGCTACCCAGCCACACAGCCACACAGCCACACAGCCAGCCATGGAGTAAGAGTGAAAGGAAGTTATAGAGAATAGAGAAAGAAAAAAGCCCAGAGGCAAAAGGTAGATGGGATAATTTAAGTTAAGGAAAGCTGGCTAGAAATAAGCCAAGCTAAGGTGGACATTCATAAGTAAGAATAAGACTCCGTGTATTTATTTGGGAGCTGGGTGGTGGGCCCCCCAAAGACCAAGGAGCCAAAAGAGGAAAATAAACACCAACTACACCAGACACGGTGCTGGAGAAGAAGCTGAGAGTTCTGTATCTGGATAGGCAGGCAGCAGGAAGAGAACTGACTTGAGCTTATATGAGACCTCAAATTCTCCCCACTCCTACAGTGACACACTTCCTCCAACAAGGCCACACCTATTCAAACACATGAGCCTATGGGGGCCATACCTATTCAAATCACTACAGGTGGATAATGTATAAAGAATGGAAATTTATTCCTTATAGTTCCCCAGAGACTGAAAAGTCCAAGATTAAAGCCCTGGCATCTGGTTACTGGTGAAAGCCTTTACATTGATCCTCCATTACTGTGGACCTGAGACAAGGCTGAAATGTCATGACAGAGAATAACAGCTCACATCACGGCATCTTGGAAGCAGAGAGTCTGAATGAGGTACCCAAGATGAGCTATAGCACCTAAGACACATCTCTAATGATCTGTATCTTCCATCCAGGGCTCACCTCCTGGTTACCATGCTTTCCCAATAATGCCATGTAGTGGGTAGCCATTCCAGCTTTGATCTGGAAGTTCCAACCCCCATTGAGACTTCGGCAACTGTTATGCCTACAAGGCGGGGCCAAGGGAGGCGCCTGGAGACCCGAGATCTGGATGAGCGAGCGCGCTCTCTGTTCTGGGACCCTGGACAGTGGAGGTGGGCCAAGCAGAGCTCCAGAGAACACCGCTGGACTGCGATACACCTTCCCCAGGCCCCGCCTCCTATCTATCCCTTCATTTGTAAGTTACGCCATTAAATAAATCTCCTTTTAACTTCATGGAGTGGCCTTAATAATTTCACCAATAATGCCATCAAGCTATTAATACATCTATCAATTGATCCACTGATGAAGGCAGAGTTTATAGCTGTGTCAATGATTGGACTTACCAACCTAGGGACCAAATCGTCAACATTTGAGCCTTTGGGGAGACAGTTCTTAGGCAAACTATATCTTGCTGCATCCTCACATGGTAGAAGGTGGAAGGGCTTGAAGAGAGACAGTGTACTGATGTGGAAGAAGCGCAGAAGAAAGGACACTCACTTCCCCTTTCGTGACGATAGTATTAGTCCATTCACAAGTGGAGGTACGGACCCCCGCGAGCCCACACTTTGCAGTGTCATTGTACTGAAGATTAAATTTCTAACCCATGAACTGGTGTGGGGGGTGTGGGGGGACATTCAGACCATAGCAATTCTCCCAGACATCCATTTTCTAATGTCACAAACCTGTAAATAAATGTATTCTCTTAAAATGATAGATGCCGGGCATGGTGGTGCACGCCTTTAATTCCAGTACTCCGGGAGGCAGAAGCAAGTGGATCTCTGTGAGTTCGAGGCCAGTCTGGTACACATAGTGAGTTCCAGGACAGCCAGGACTACACAGAGAAATCCTGTCTTGAACACCCCGCAAAAAAAGATGTTAAGAGACCTTGCAGATATTAGTAAGTTGATGGGAAGATTTTCCTGGGTTATGTGGATGGACTCAAAGTCCTTACAAAGAGGGAGACAGGATAGTGAGGATGAGAGGACATGTGACATTGGGGGTAGCTGTTGGAGTGATGCAGGGCTGAAAGACAAGAAGTCTGCAGTCTTAAGGTTCTGTTGCTTTCTTCAGCAGCATTTGATGGAAGAGCTTTTAGACATTTGTCATAGATAAAAGTAAACCAGGAACTACCAGATTGCTTTTTTTTTTTTCCGAGACAGGGTTTCTCTGTGTAACAGTTCTAGTTGTCCTGGAACTTGTCTGCAGACCAGGCTGACCTCGAACTCACAACCTGCCTGCCTCTGTCTCCCGAGTGCTGGGATTAAAGATGTGTGCCACCACCACCTGGCTCAGCTTGCTTTTTATTTTTTTTTATATTGTAAACCACGTACCAAGTTTCTGTCCGAAATTGTGTAGAATAAGTTAAATATAATTTCATTCTATTAAACAATATGATTGTATTTCTTATGCATAGTTATATAGAAATAAAGTTTAAAAGTAGAAACAAAAACAAATAAACAAAGAGAAGAAAAAAAGCCTGAAGTCATAAAGGTTAACTCTCCCAGTGTTGGTTAGTTTTTTTGTCAACTTGACACAAGCTAGAACCATCTGAGAGGAGACAATCTCAGCTGAGAAAATGCCTCCATCAGATTGGCCTATAGGCAAGCCTGTGAGGCATTTCCTTGATTGAGTATTGAAATAGAAGAGCCCAGCCCATTGTGGGTGGTGTCATCCTTGGGCAGGTGGTCCTGGGGTCTATTAAGAAAGCAGGCTGGGTAAGCCATGGGGAGCAGGTCAGTAAGCAGCACTCCTCTATGGCCTCTGCATCAGCTTGTGCCTCCAGGTTCCTGCCTTGAGTTCCTGCCCTGACTTCCCACAGTGATGTAGTGTGACCTGAGAATTATAAGCTGAAATAAACCCTTCTCTTCCCAATTTGCTTTTGGTCATGGTGTTTTATCACAGCAATAGAAACCCTAACTGAGACATTCCCCTAGAGCTTCTAGACTGAATACCATCCTTCCTATTCCTTGATCTATTTTTAAGGTTTACTTTAGTTTTACTTAACAGTAATTGTGTGCATTGTAGGTACAGTGTGATGTTTTGATATATGTATGCATCATGAAATGATCAAATCAGATATTTAACATTTTTTCTAGTTAAAACTTTCAAAATCTTCTCTTTTATCTATTTTGACCTCCTCCATTTCTGACCTGGGCTAGTTCACAACCTCTTTAGGAAACCTGGTGGTCCCCCACTCCCAGGAGGTCACTTTAGGGATGCTAAACACTCGATCAGCATAATGTACTGCAGCCTAGAACTTCTTGACTCAAGTGATCTTCTTGCCTCCCAAGTAGCTGGGATTCTAGGCATGTGCCACCATGCCTGGCCCCTTTAGCTCTTTTGAAATGTAAAATGCATTATTATTAGCTATACCCACTGTGGTATGCAGTAGAATATCAGAAGATAGCTCCATTATGGTAATTGACCCTTTGTACCAACTGACCATTTTCCCTTTGAATTTAGGTATTCTGACTTCGAAACTGTGAGATAATAAATGTCTTGCTTTAAGCCACGGAGTTTGTGGTAATGTGTTGTAACAGCTGTCAGAAGCCAACACACGAGGAGTAAACAGTGATTCCAACTCAATAGGCATGACTTGGTGAACCATTGTGGATAATGACTGCTAGAAGTGTTCAAAGTGTCAACCACCTTAAAGACTTTCCTGCTGTTGCCGGAAGTGATCCTAGGAATGGGGACTCAGTGGTGAGCAAATGGTCATGGGCTCTTCCAATATGGAGCTTATCGGCAGGAAAGAAAGACTGGCATTAAGCCAAAAATATCTTCCCTTGAAGGGCTCGATGTGCCAGAGAGGAGGCATGTACAGTGCGATGGAAGGAATTAGGAGACTCAAATCAAGTAGATGGTTGGGAGAGGTCCCTGAGGATGTGATGGTGAATTCTAAGGATGAGTAGGGCTTAGCTATTTCATGATTGAAGGTGGAAAGAGTATTTCTGACAGAAGAAAGATCATGGCCAAAGGCTGCAGGTGGGAAAAACATTGTATTTAATTCACACTTAATATGAATCCAGTATTGTTAGAGCAGACAAAAAAAGAGCTAGAGTTGTACAAATAGGGAGTGGAACACAGTGACGAGACCAAACAAGGTCTTACGGTCTACCAAAGGAGAGTGACATGATGAGATGCAGAAACATTTATAAAAATCACTCAGGCCACAATGGATGAAAGAATAGGTTGGAAGCAGGAGGGGATGTAGGGGGAGCCAAGTATAATTGAAGTAGCCAGATGAGAAGTAATTGTAGCCATTAACAGGATAAAGACATTAGTGATAAAGAGAAGCAGAGGATTCAAGAGATGGAGAGGATATAGAATTGGCATGTACAGCTTGAGGGAATCAGTAAGACATTGGCGTGGAAGTGGACAGAAATGCTTGCAAGTATAGGAATCAGCACTGAAATGGTCAAATGAAGTCAGAGGGATAGTGGGGATTTTTTAGTAGAGAGAAACAAGAAAGCAAGGGGCCAAGGATCGAGCTCCAAGGCACTTCTAGAAGCAGCAGAAGAGCAGTAGTCACCCAAAGAGACACCCAGCTGTGGCCAGAAGACAGTAGGAGAATAAAGGGTGGAACTGAACTCAGAAGGGAGAAAGGTTTTTAATGTGGAAGGAGTAACGATGAAGGCAAATGTAATATGACTCAAAAGTATCTCTTGAACATACAAGTGGCAGTTTAGTAGAAATCTGCCATGTTGGGTAATAGGGGCTGTGAGGGTTCATTTTCATTGTCAAGTTAACCAAATTTGGAATCGCCTAAGAGATACAATTTGGGGCATATCTGTAAGGACATTTCCAGAGAAGTTGAACTGAGACCAGCTCTGAAATTGGGCAGCACCATCCTATGGCCTAAGGTCCAAGGATAAATAAAAAGGAAAAAAGGAGAAAGCAGCTGGGTGCTAGCATTCATCTACCCTTGCTTCTTGACTGTGGGAGCAATATGACCAACTGTGTTAAACTCCTGCCATATTGGGTTGATTATATGCCCTCAGACCAATGATTCTCTGTTGGGAGCCCTGCGGCCTAGTTTTGGACCAGTATATGAGTGCTTGTCCAAAGGGTCCAGATGAGGTAAAAGCCCACAGGCAAGGACCAGTGCTGATTGCAGGACCCTGCAGGATACTGCTGGGACCATGCGGCCTGTATTCTCTCTTCTCTCTCGTGATATTGATGATTCTCTTGGTGGATTTAGTGTCGTTTTGTCAATCTTGCATGGAACAGGTGTGATCATTCCTGGAAACCCAATTTTTCTCCAATATTTTCCCCTAAAATTCTTTGGGAGCTGATGCTTCCCAGGTTTCTTGTCTGGGGAAGCCAGCTGTCTGAAAGAGCCTGGGAGCTGTTCTGATTCAGTGCTGACAGAATCGGAGGCAGGTAACCCCTATTTCTGTAAATACGTTTTGAATGGGATTATTGTTCTTGAAAATGCATGCCTATGTCAATCACCTTTTAGTTTTGTAAAGACAGGATGTACCCAACTGGATATTTGGCCAAGCCAGCAAAATGATAACTGTTGTTTTGGGTTTAAAGATGTTTTGATGTTAAACCAAAAAAAAAAAAAATCTGGGCCGGGCGGTGGTGGCGCACGCCTTTAATCCCAGAACTTGGGAGGCAGAGCCAGGCAGATCTCTGTGAGTTCGAGGCCAGCCTGGACTACCAAGTGAGTTCCAGGGAGGTGCAAAGCTACACAGAGAAACCCTGTCTCCAAAAACCAAAAAAAAAAAAAAAAAAAAAAAAAAAAAAAAAAAGATGTTTTGATGTTAAAGTTGGGAAAAACACATTTGACATATTTGTTTTTGCCGGGGGTTAACAGAGGATGGAAAAACCATGTTTGTTATTATGGAAAAACATGCTTGTTTTTGATGTATAAATAAAGATGGCTGGAGCTATTGCAGGCCGGCCACTTGTGTGAAACTCATCTGGTGGTTGAACACTTCATTTCTTTACACAGATGCCCTTCCCCACCTCAGGGCCTGAACCCAGGCTTCAGCTGGACTGTGGCATTTCTCAACCTTCCTAATGCTTTGACCCCCAACCATAAAATTACTTTCATTGCTACTTCTTAACTGTAATTTTGCTCCTGTTATGAATTGTAATGTAAATATCTATGTTTTACAATGCTCTTAGTTGACCCTGTGAAAGGGCTGTTTGACCCTCAGGTTGAGAACCACTGCCTCAGACTGTGATTTAAAATAAACCTTTTTCCTTTATGTTGACTTTGTCAG